AGTGTGAACTGGAGTTGCCAGAAGAGACTTAATCCAGGAGTTGATGCAAAATTACAGGAAATGAAGAAAAAAAAAAAAAAGATAAATCACATGGGTGTCCCCTTAAAATTATTTAAAACACTGTTCATTCATGTTGTATGCACTTTTCTCTATACAATGCAATTCACAACTTTTTAAGTGGTAAAAAAAAAATGTAATAGGTTAAATCAAATGATATCCATCTTCTGGTCAAAACCTTCCATTCCACTCAGATGAAAAAAATAGTTCTTCCCATGCCCTAAAGGGCCCTATACAATCTGAGCCCTTGGCCCCTGTCTTTTGGATTCTCTCTCCCCTCCTTCAGGTGTTTGATCCACCCTGGCCTCCTCACTGTTCCTAAAACAAACCAATGAAGTCCCACATCAGACTCACTGTGCCTGCTGTTTCCTCTGTTTGCAGGGCTCTTCCCCAGGTATCTGCCTGGCTCCCTTCCTCCCTTCCTCATGGAATTCAGGCACCTGCTCAAATGTGACCCTCCTGGAGCAGCCTCTTGTGATCCGCCAATATAAAATGATACCGTCATAAATCCCTGTCCTCTTATCTTCCTCAGCACTCACCATTACCAGGTAGATTACATATTTGTTCATATTCTGTTTTCCGATAATTAGAATGAACGCTCCATGCATCAGGGATCTTATGCTGATTTTTCATTGCTGTACCTGGATCAGGGTCTGGCACAGGGCAGCAGCACATGTGCTGAATTAACTGATGACTAAATGAACTGCCAGCATGAGGCGAGGCAGTAGATAGCAATGACGTGCCCTCTGACCTGGTGGCCATGGGCTTGGAGCCAGACCTCACTGCAAAGCAGCCAGCTTCACCAGACGGCTCTTTCCAAGAGCAAAGAGTGATCCTAAGCACAGTCAGACACCTCTCAAAAGTCTGGTTTGTCACACAACAAATGAGAATAAGTGAGTTTGTGGCACTCAGGAATCATAGGGCCATCGACAAGTGCCACCCACAAATTCATAACATTGATCCCTCCCAAACCCCAGGCTCTTCCACAGCTCAGGGAATGCCCATTACTACAGAACCACCCCAAGCATGTGATTTACTGATACAGGATCAATGACACTGGTGTCTTTCCACAAACACCCACAAAACAATACCTTGCACAAAAACCAGAAAACTGAGTGAAAGGAACCCAAGGGAGAGGATGACACAGTGTTTGAGATTCTCAATGTCATCTAGAGCATCAGTGCTGAGCCTTGGCATCACATAAAAATCACCTAGGTAAAATCCTCATACCCCAGCCACACCCCAAACTGGTTAGATTGTCAACTTAGGGAACATGAGCCAGGAATGGGGTTTCTGAAAGCACCCTTGGTGAGTCCAAATGTGCAGCTATTGTTGAAAACCACTCACTAGAGGTGGGTGGTTGTGTTGATCTAAGGGAGCCAGGGAGGGGCTTCTGTACTCCTTACCTCACCAGGGTGTCACTGCCAGCCCCTCCTGGGCTGTAATAGAGCACGTTCTCCAAGGACAAGGAGAACTTCAGCCCCTCTGCCTCTGAGATGTACAAGTTGGTGCGGTTGTTACTATGACTGACACACACGAACACCTGGTCCTCGGAGGCATCCGCGATGTAATATTCCTTCGGAATCAAAAATAAAAAAATACATAAGTCAACAAAAAGTGTATGTCCCGTGGGCTCTCCCTATACACACTAAAGCAATGACTTCCAAATGTCCCAGTGACAGATTTGGGCATGAAGCCCACGGAAAACTCCCCAACCTTGGCAAAGAAGCCTAGCTGATTTGCCCTTCGGAGAACCTGAGGCTGCTCTACCGCATAGGATCCTTATTGGAAAATGGGGCACAAAATAAGAATGGGCCGCTGAACTCCATAAATGACCTAAAAACCTCGTTTTAGTTAACAATAGCTCCCTTTTTTTCCCCGTAAGACCTTTCATTAGTGTAAAGTACAATATAGATTAACATGCATTTCCTTTCCTTTTATTTTCTCCCAAGTGACTAAAGGAAGGAGGAACCCATATAAAGTAAAGCACTGACAAGAGTGTTTTCTGTCAGATACTCCTTTGAGCTACTAACCTTCCACCACACCAGAATGCCACCTCCTCCCTGTGGCCGCTTCTCTGGTGGCCTGCGGATCTCTACATTATAATGCAGGCTGCATTTGACGATATATGGTTGTCTCCTCTGCTTAGTTCCCAACCTGTCTGTATCAAAAAGGTAGGACCCAAATCCTACACTTTTTTCGAACCTATCCACCTGTGAGCAACACAGCAGGTACTTAGGTAACTGTTGCTGTCACTAACTTCCTAGTCCTTCAGTACTGGCACACTGAGCCCATTGACTCTGCCTCTAAACCTCTCTGCCAATGCTTCTCCACTTAAAGCAAATTAAAGACTCCAGTTCAGCTCCACTTCAAACAGTGAGGAGTGAAAAAATAGACCAAGAAGCCCAGAGCATAATGGCTCTCACTAGATAGAGCCCTATCTGGAAAGTGACCTCAGGGAGCCTGGTCAAATAGCCACCCGGCAGGACATCCCCAGAGCACCCTTTCCGTGATCGTTTCATGGGAACAATGTCACTTCTTCCCATCCCCAAGCAAACCCCACTCACATTAATAGGATGTCTTGTGACAAACTGGGCTGCTCGCATGGGCTTCCGGCCAAAGGAGACCCAGAGCTGCACAGAAGGTGGCTGCTGACTGCCGAAGCGATGCTGCCAAGGAAGAGGAGAAAGAAATCAATTGTGCCACATCATAGCCACTCAAAATAAGTGAAAAAAGGGAACAGAAAAGTCACACCCCTCTGATTCTACTGAAAACAAACTAGAGTGTGAGTGCAAATGCACATTTTTGTGACATCTGCTGTCACTGGACAGCTTGCACTGTCCTGCTTTATCTTAGATACCCGGTCTGCAACAGAGTCCAGATACTCTCTGGATATTGGATGAGGAGGAAGGACAATGGTATAATTTGAGAACTTGGGATTGGGGAGGGGAACGGAGGCTGCCAAAGCTTAAGCAGAGAGTGAAAAGGAGAGGACTGTGTGATGAGGCTGAGGGGTGGGGGCAGAGCCTACAGCCCCAAAACCACCACAGGGTGAGATCAGCCACACACCATGCATATAAAACATATTCTCTTCTCCTGTCTCCTATTTTCATATTATAAGTACACTTGAGTTACAAGGCTTTAACTTGCACCAAGAGTTAACAGAATTTTCATTGATTCTGTTTTTCAAATTTTTAATACTTCTCATTGATTAAGGTCCTTTGCTAGAATATGTTTGCTTTGGTAGAGTATGCCACATAATGTTGACCACAACACACTGCATTTTAGAGATAGTAAACCATGGCGGAAATCTTGAAAATGTGTATAAAAGCACTAGATTAAGAGGAAATCACTGAATCTCTCTAGGTCTCAGTTTATTCATCTACAAAAGAAGACGCTGATTTAGATTAGGGCTTGTCCATTGGATGGGTTTAAATGGCCAAGCGACCCTGTACATACATATGCCAATATTTTGTGTAGGGAGTGTTTCATTTTGCGAGGGAGTGTTTATGCTGCTTACTAGCTTCTCAAAAGGGTCAATGATTCGAAAGAGGATAAGAAGCGCTAGAAAGGCTCTATGTGGTTTCGCACTTCTAAGAGGGAGGCACACCCTCGCGCAGACAGAATGACACACATAATGACTCTTACACTCACTGGACTGTTGGGATCCCTAGCCAGAAGGGCTTCATGTATCTTTGACTTTGTCATTCCTGTGTCTTACAGATTTTAAATTCCTACGAGTAAGGAACATATCGATTTCTTAACTAATGTAACCACAACTGAGTACCCTGTGCCCAGGTATGCCCAATGAATACTATGTGAAGAGCAAACTGATGACCATGAGGTTAGTTTTGATTCATTTGAGCAGTACACACACACACACATATATATACATATATATATATATATATATACACACACACACACATATATATATATATACACACACATATATATATATATATTAAAACCACCACTGAACAAATGGGTACAAGTAGTTTGTTTTAAAGAAGTCAGGTAGAGAAGTACAAAAGACTGCTTTTGCAAAATGGCACCGTGAAAACCAAGTTAATAGACTGTACTCAATATGGGACCGTAGGAAATGATGGACCTATTAAAAATGTAAAATGTATGACCTGAATGAGAAAACAGTTCCCAGCAAAATATGTATAAATTCCAAAAGCCCTCCTTAAGTCAATAAAATTTTACAGCTGTGTATAAAAGTCAGATAATTAGTTTAAGTCACCCTATGTGGATGCTTATGAATATATATGAATACACAGATATCAATGAAACACCTACTTTTATGTTTTATATTTTTTCGCTACTTCCTACTGTGGTTACACCTTAGAAAGGAGCCATTTTTTTAGTGACCCTCAAACCCATCATTAAATGTTCTTAATAAGCGCTGAGGGAAGGCCTGAGAACTGAGAATGTATACCAAGGCAGGTCTTACTCCATAAATGCAAAAATCACCAAATACAAAGGTCATAAAAAAACCTCAAAACACATCTATCCCACTTCCTTCTGGAGGAATTATTCCTAAACCCAGACAATTCATGTTCACTCATAATGTATTCTTAAAGAGTTATTATAATATTTCACTGTCACCAAGAAAAATATTAACAACTAAACTATGGCACACTGTTGATTGTAAGATGTATTGTAAGGCCCTAATACTTTTCTTAATAAACCATGGCTTTTGTGGTTGTTGAGTTGTTCCTTATCATTATGATAAAGGTAAACATGCTTATAAAAAACATCCAACAGTACAGGCAGGTACAAGGTAATATGCAGACGTTCTGCCCCCTACTCTCCACTCTAAAAGACTAGTTTTTTTTCCTTTTGTGCAACTACGTGTGATCCTGTGACTCAGTACTAATCGATGAGATGTAAAATAGAACTGTTGTGTTGGATTTCTAGGAAGGCTGCTTAAGGGGACTAAATCAGCTGGAAGCGGTCCTGTTTTGGTCTTTCTGTCTTTATCCTTCCTAACTCCAGTCAAGACTCAAAGGTTAGTACAGATGTCTTGGACCATGAAGGAACCTTGAGAATGGAAATCATTAGTTAGGATGATAGAAGAGAGAGATAGAGGCCTGCGTCCCCAGTATCACCAACATACCAATATAACCCTAGATTGCCTACCCCCAGGCAGCACTGACTGGATAAGCTACTTTTATTTCTAGTTTGTTATTTCTAGCCTAATACAATGCCAAATTGATACAAGCAATTTTATTTTTGAACATGCAAATTAGATCATGATAGAAATTGTTGTGCAACTGCACTTTTTTCATTAACAGACCATCTTACTGTTCTACAATTAACTGTTTTCATTAACAGTGAATCTTAGACATATTTCATTTAACAGCTATTGATGGGCATTTAGGTTATTCCAGAAGCACTCTTCAAAGAACACACCTGTATATATTACCGTTCAGAACCACACAAGAATATTTGCAGGATGCATTCTTAGAGTCCCTAGATCAATATTCTCCTTTTTGATAGATAGTATAAACGGCCTTCCTAAAAGGCATACCAGTTAATACATCTACCAGCACACATAACTTCACCAACAACTAGGAATTATTTAAATGTTTTAATTTATATGCCAGTATTACAGGGTCTAGAATTTATGATAACATTTTTTTTATTTGGTATCTTCATTTTCTAATGAGTAAAAATAAATTAATATAAGTGCCTGAATAATCTGAATTTCAGAGAGTACATTTATACTTATGTTTGAAATTATGTCAACAGCAAAAAGAAATGAGAGGTCAAGGAGAAATGAGCAGAAAGAAACTAAATAAATGACACACGTTGCCAAGAAAGATCAAAAGATGTCACAGTGAGCTATTTGACTGACAGTTTCTCAGAGCAGATTGGTGGGCCAATGAGGAACCCCGAGGCCCGTAGTGGACAAGGACACCAGTTCAGAATCACCTGGCTGTAGTATTCACTACCACCTTCTCCTCTGAAGAAATAACAAAGTTTCAGCAAAACGTCATCATCCATGCTAATGTTGTTTATACCTAAATATTTATAGATAAAATGATATAGCGGGAGTTTGCTTTAAAAATACTCCAGGAAAAAATAAGTAGTGGGTAGATAGGTGAAAAAAAGATTAGCAAATGTAAGATAATATTGAGGCTGAATGAGGGCACATGGGGAGGTCATAGCAGCATAAACTGTTCTTTGCTGTAGGCTTGAAAATGTCCATAATAAAAAGTTTGCAAAGTTAACATTAATTGGAAGCACTTCCAGAATGGCAGAGTAATTCTGAAAATCTGTTCATTTGTAACAGCAACAAGAACATTTGACAAAACGTCTCAAAATCAACTTTTTCAGAATTCTGAAAATTAAATAAAGGCTTGCAAAACCCAAGGAGCCTTTATTCAAGAACAATGATTGAGGCTCAGCAACAATAGCCAACTTTGTGATATTTTAACTTGCCTTAACCCTACCCCCTTCTCTCTAGTTCTGCAGTAGCCTTGGAAACCCAGTTTCACAGCTACAATAGTTGTGAAAAACAGCAGCCTAGCGGCCACTAGAGAACACAGAACAAGTCTGGAGCTTCCAAAGTGTCCCAGAGCCAGAGGGTTGTCACTATCTGATCTGCCTAGTGGCTTGCTTAAAAGCTGCATTCTCAGGTCTTCTCTTTATATAACCTGATTTAGCTCACTGTACAAATAGACCTATAACTAGGGTATTTATGAAAAACTGACAAATGTTTAACATCATAACTGCTGGATCAGTATTGCCACTTGGAGCTAGCAAGAGGATAACTAAAAAGCATAAAAGAAAAAACTGGGGAAGAAGACATCTGTGAAAGGCTTTGATAAGCTCTGAAATATTCCAGGGAATCTACAAGGTCATACACACAGAGCTGTGAGTGTACTCAGGAAAGAACCAAAAAGGGCCTATTCTCTCATGTCTGGCTAATAACTTTGAGGCTCTACACAAGCAGGAAATAAAAGTCTAAGCAGAGTTGTAAACTGCATTGAAGGCATGTCACCAACACTGGATCAGAGGCCCTTAGCAAAGGCTGCCAGACTTATTGGTTCAAAGCATTTAAGGAAATTTCTGATCAGTCATTACCTGACCATTAAGCTAAATTATCAAATACTTCAGTAGGCATACACAATGAAGAATACAGACTTTACAAAATTAATGCGGGAAACTCACAAAACAAACAAAAAAGACAACAAAATAATAATAAAAAGCAACCAAAAAAAATCCTGGGAAGGGGGGTATTCTGATGAGAGGAGCTGCCACATTGTATCATTTAAAATGTCTGGTTTTGGCCAGCAGAGTGGCTCAGCTTGTTAAGAGCATGAGCTCTGAGCAACAGGGTCGCCAGTTCAATTACCACATGGGCCAGTGAGCTGCGCCAGAGAGCTGAACTGCCGCTGAGCTGCCAATAGGTGGCAGGATGGCTCAGCTGGTGAGAGCACATGCTCCTAACAAGGCTGCCGGTTCGACTCCTGCATAGGTGCATAGTATGGTGGGCTATGCCACCTGCAACTAAGATTGAACATGGCGCCTTGAGCTGAGCTGCCCTAAGCTGCCCACAGGCAGCCAGGTGGCTCAGTAGTTAGAACCTGTGCTCTTAGCAACAAGGTTTTCGGTTCAACTCCCGCATGGAATGGTGGGCTATGCCCACCCGCAACTA